ATTTTGTTTATTTTGAGTGTTTTTGTATTTATTGTATAAAATTTGTATCATAACTAATGAAATTGGTTCCTTTTAACTATCTTATAATTGGCTTCCTAAAATTATTTGAATAAACTACACTTAGCGACAGGAAATGTGGTCGTTATAGTATTCGTATTTCAAGTACAATATAATTAACAAAAATATTTTTTGGTCGTTAGAAGAACTTGTACAAAGGGCAAATCCAGTCGTTAAAAATGTCATATAACGACCCAAATTTACTTTGTCGTTAGAAAACCTTTCTTTTTAACGACCGGATTTAAATTTGGTCGTTAACTTTAAAAGTCAGCATTTTAACGACCGACGATTACTGGAATTATGAAGGTCGTGAAAAGCTTTTAATGTCTAAATTCGAACTTATAACGACCATATTTTCCTTCGTTAAAAACCATTTTCCTTGTAGTGTTATTTAAATTTTAATTTCTCCAGGGGATGTAAGGTTGTGGGTTCAAACCCCCACATCCTCCTATCTTTATTTTTATTTAAAATTCACTAAGTTAGACGTGTGGCAGTGAGGTTGTGGGATCGAACCCCCGCAACCTCACTTTATTTCTTTAATTAAATTCACCTTCTCCTTTCCATCCTTGAGGTCATGGGTTTTATTCCTACGCCTTCCATTGTCTTTTCTTTATTTTTTTTCTTCACTCGCTGCATGGAGGTCGTGGGTTCGATTTCCAGACCTCCCATTTATTTATTTTAATTCTTGTTCTTTTCTTCATAAATAAGTAGACCCAGTTTAGATTCCCCCAACCCTTTTTCTTTTTCTTTTTCTTTTTTTTCCGCGAATTCTAGTAGCAAAAGGGTGAGGTCAAAAATTCAAATCCTGGTGGCCTCACCTCTTAAAAATATATTATATTTTCCGATTTCAAACATTCTTTTTGAACAAAAATAAGGTATAACAACCTGGAAATTTATTCATTATTTTAGCTTCCTTTCATCAACCTTTTCATGTTAGTTCTTAGGACGTATTCGTATACCACTTTAACACATCTTTACGCGCATCTTTCATGAATTTATTTGTCTAAAAGATCGTAACTAAATCAGGCACATTTCCTTAAATGCACATCACAATTTTTTATGGATTTATACACATAACAACAACTACAACTTTGTCAAATTTTGAGCATCAAGTCGAGACCCTTGCCAAAGTAACATACTTGCACACACTTGCACATAACTTCAAACACACATTGACTGTCATTTTCATGATTGCACATAAATAAATATATTCACAATCAACACAAAAACATCACACACACCTAAATCTACCAGCAAACATACCCATTCTACGAATCATTGGGAGCTAGTGACAGGGACACGCAACGGGGAAAACAATCCTAGTTTTCGGACTGAATGACTGAATCTTAGGGGGTTTATTTGGAAAGGTACCAAGAGGGAAGGAACTCATACCTTATATTATTGTCCAAACGTTGATGTTTCTGCCCAAAACCCTCTCCAAAATCAGTCTAAGCGTCCTCAACGTCCACACCACTCGACGTATTACTTCTCTTTTCCTTAACGGTTTTGGTTACTTTGTTTTTCATAAAATATCATGTCAGTTCTTCAAGTGTGAAGAAGACTTAATATTATTTCCATTCTTTTAGTTTTTTGGCAGAAACCAATGTGAGAGAGATGATGAAACGTGGGAGAGAGATCGTGAGAGAGTAGTCTAATATTTGGAGTTTTAGTTTGGGAAATAGTCAAACTAGGACTCCTTATTAATTCAAATAAAACCTGATTTAATTAGCTTAGTGAAAGGACCATTATGCCCTTAAAAATCAGACTATGAAACATATATAAATAACCAATATGTTGCTTCCATTGGGGCTCGAACTCGGGTGGATTGACCTTTGCAAAATTGACAATTTCGTTTCAACCCGAGCCTAATTGGTTCTTTAGTTAAATTAATTAATTAATTAATTCCTTCGGGTAAATACGACATTACCCTTGGCGTGGAAAAGACAATTTTACCCCTGGACCCTCATAACTTAAAAATTCCTCTTTTAAATACGGTTAAGACTCTTTCGATTAGATCTTATTTATCGAGAGCCCCACATGGTTGGTTCCAACCTTTCCGAGCTCACCTATCTCCCGAATTTAGTTGGCTTGGTGGTAGTAAGGGTAATGAGGTGTGGTTCTACGGGTATCAATCTGTGTGGACCCTGGGTCTAATCGCAAGCATTCTTGATACCTTAAGCATTTATCGTAGTCATTTTTTTAGAGTTGTTACACTGAGGCTGTTAAGAACTGGCAAAAGCCTCTTACTCCTACATATATTCTTAGTTGCTTGGAATTAACTGGTTATTATCGCAGGTTCATGAAGGGTTTTTCTTCCGTTGATGCCTCACTGACAGTTTTGACTAAGAAGAAGGCCAAGTTTTAATGGACGGAAATTTGTGAAAAAAGTTTCTGGGAACTCAAAGACATACTCACTTGAGCTCCAATGCTTTCTTTGACTATGTCTGGTGAAAACACTATTTATTGTGATGCATCTAGGGTTGGTTGGAGTTGTGTTCTAATGCAGGGTGGTAAAGTTATAAGTTATGTGTCTAGACAACTTAAGGTTCATGAAAAGAATTATCCCACTCATGACCTGGAGTTGGCAGCTATGGTATTTGCATTGAAATTATGGAGGCACTATTTATGTGGAGTGAATGTGGATGTGTTCACAGACCACAAAAGTCTCCCATACGTGTTCACACAAAGGATGTTGAATCTACGTCAGAGGAGGTGGTTTGAGTTATTGAAGGACTATGACATGAATTTCCACTACCATCCAGGTAAGGCTAATGTTGTAGTTGATGCTTTGAGTAGGATGAGCATGAGAAAGCCCATGTTGAGGATGATAAGAAAGTGTTGGTGAAATATATACACAAAGTGGCAAGACTGGGTGTGTGGTTAGTTGATTCTACTAGTGGGGGTCTTTTAGTTCATCATAGTTCCGAATCAGTATTAGTAGTTGAAATGAAGGAGGGTCAACATCTCGATCGTGTGCTGATGGAGCTGAATAACTCAGTGTTGGTTAAGATGAATGAGCCTTTTTCTTTGGGAGATTACGGCATACTTAGGTACCAGGACAGTCTGTGTGTACCAAATGTGGATGATTTGTGGACCAGGATAATTGTAGAGACCCATGGTTCCAAATATTCCATAAATCCAGGTTAAAAAAAGATGTATCATGATCTTAAGAAGATCTATTAGTGGGATGGTGTTAGACCCGCAATCTACTTGATCTAACTACGTGCAGACATGCCAAGGACTTGGGCATTGGTCTTGGCATGGATGATGGCAAAACAGTGCAACACAAGTTCAAGGTGCTTGGGTGTTGGCAAGGCAGCTTGAATGTGCATGGCTTACGTGCGGGCTAAGGGCGTTGGCAAGACAGCATGTTGACTTAATGAAGCAAGGCTGGTTAAGACTTGGCAAGGTCAAAGACAAAGGCAGTTCACCCGAAATTGCTGAAATAAAACTAAGTGTGGAAGACAGCTAAAATATTCTAAGTGTTGGAAGCTGGCAGGATTATTCTAAGTGTTGGAATGAAGCCTGAAATATTCTAAGTGTTAGAATATTAGTATTTCGTGTAGATAAGAATGTAATTTGAATTAGATTCTATCTGTTGGAAATATAGCTGTTGGAAAGTTAGTTTTGAACCCTGGGCTGACATGTGTCAGACAGGTGTCATGTGTAACCGCCGCATGTATCCGCTTGTAACTGCCATTGTGCAGAATTTTGATTTAAGGTGGAAATTCGTCTAAGGCGGGGGACAGAGAGTTTTCTAGCCTTAGACTGATTTGTGAAGCCTTCCTTTGTATTAATTATCGATTAATAAAGGTTGGGACTTGATCCTGTAAACGCTGCCTGTTTATTGTTTGACATTGCTGTTTAAGTATTTCTATACTTAGTCAATTCTGTGGGTGTAAGTAGGCTGAAGTATTACAGACGTTGTAAGACTGCCTAGAGTGGTGTGCGAGAAAAATAAATTGACCCTCTTTCAATTGGTATCAGAGCACGGTTAAACAATGGTGAAAAACGCAGAACTATGGGAGTTGGCACGAAAAATTGAATCCTTCATCGGGTTTACTGAAGATGTTTTGGCAGACCCTACGTTTGTGGATTTATTCACACAAATCATTGAGTTGAGAGTGGACGCTGAGAAAGTTCAGGGAGAAATTGGTGGATATCGACAAAATGTTGATAACCACATCACTGAAACTTGGACTTTCGTGCTACAACTACACAGAAACTGGAGGGACTGCAGAAGGAAAATGAGAACCTTCGTGCAGAACTCGTCGTTTTGTGTCGGGCTGTGGCCACGTTGAGTTCAACTCGTGTTGAATCGTCTAAGGTAAAGATTCCAGAACCTAAGGCCTTTAGTGGCGCAAGGAGTGCTAAAGAATTGGAAAATTTCATCTGGGACATGGAGCAGTATTTTACCGCTGCAAGGGTGCCGGACGCTGATAAGTTGAACATTACCACAATGTACTTGTGTTAGGTGATGCGAAACTTTGGTGGACTCGTAATGCAGACGACGTAAGTGCTGGTCGTCCTAGAATTGATACATGGGATAAGCTAATCAAAGAAATGCGTGATCAATTTCTTCCTAGCAATGCATCTTGGCTTGCAAGGGATAAATTGAAAAGGTTAAGGCAGACTGGTTCAGTGAGGGAATATATAAAAGAATTTACCTCTGTGATGTTAGACATACAAAATATGTCTGATGAGGATAAACTTCACAATTTCATTTCGGGCATGCAAGGCTGGGCCCAAAACAAACTACGAAGGCAGAATGTTAAAGATCTGCCTGGGGCAATTGCTGCTGCTGATTCGTTGGTAGATTTCCGGACGACTCGTCCTTCGACAGATGTCCCTTCTACTTCGAAAAATAAGAAAAAGAATGAAAAAAAGGGGAATGGAGAAAGGATAGTCGTAAAGAGAATGCAAACGATAAAGGAAAGGCCCAAATGAAGGATGGGAAAGACAGACCCAAGAGTAAAGATGGAAACTCTAAAGGATGTTGGACTTGTGGTGGTCCTCATTTGGCCAAATCTTGTCCAAACCGGGAAAAAGTGAATGCTTTGCTTGCTGGTAATGTGTATCAAAGGGAGGAGGATGAAGAAATCGTGGCTGCAATGGCAAACCCATTGGGATTGTCCTTCAATCACATTATGGGGATCAATAATGTTGGAGAGATCTCTAACACTTCGAATCCTCATGCTTCCTTAATTTATATAGAAATGAAAGTGAAAGAACAATGTGTGATGGCAATGGTTGATACAGGGGCCATACACACGTTTGTAGATGTGAAGATTGCTACAAAATTGGGGCTGAAGTTGTCTAAAAGCCCTTCCTACGTCAAGACAGTCAATGCTAAGGCACAAGCCATTGTGGGCATGGCTTATAGTGTGTCTATGTCGACTGGAAATTGGGTGGGAAAACATAATTTGATGGTGATGCCGCTTGGAGACTTTGAAATTATACTTGGGATTGATTTCCTAAGAAAATACCAGTTTGTTCCGTTTCCTCACTTAGATGGAGTGATGGTAATGAGTGGAAGTGATGCTGGTTTTCTGAAGGGTGTTCATCCGTTTGGAAACATTAATAAGGTTGCGAAGAAGAAAGGACAAGGAAATGTTGTTATCTGCTGTGTCGATCGACAAAGGGCTGAAGAAGGGAGATGAAACCATACTTGCTGCCTTGGTCGAAATTAAATCTGATGTGAAGATGGAAGTGCCTAATTGTGTTGCTGAATTATTTAAACAGTATGCTGATGCTATGCCACCTGAATTACCAAAGAAATTACCACCAAGGAGGGATATTGATCACAAGATTGAGTTGCTGCCTGGTACGGTTGCCCCTGCACAAGCTCCTTATCGTATGGCTCCTAAAGAATTGGTTGAACTACGCAAACAATTGAATGAATTGCTAGATGCTGGATTGATTCAGCCGTCTAAGGCTCCATATGGTGCTCCTGTTCTATTTCAAAAAAAACAGGATGGAACAATGAGAATGTGTGTAGACTACCGGGCGCTGAATAAGGCAACTATAAAGAACAAATATCCGGTTCCGTTGGTGCAAGATTTAATGGACAGGTTGAGAAAGGCATGCTGGTTCACAAAACTTGATTTGAGGGCAGGCTATTGGCAGGTTAGGATAGCAGAGGGTGATGAACCAAAAACAACATGTGTAACTAGATATGGTTCCTATGAATTCCTTGTAATGCCGTTTGGGCTGACTAATGCCCCGACAACATTCTACAATTTAATGAACAATGTACTATTTGACTATCTTGATGACTTCGTTGTTGTTTATTTAGATGATATTGTTATATATAGTCGAACGTTGGAAGAACATGGTAATCACCTAAGTCTGGTTCTGTCTCAATTGAGAAAATACACACTTTATGTCAAGATGGAAAAGTGTGAATTTGCTCAACAAGAGATAAAGTTCTTGGGGCATCTTGTTAGTAAAAACCAAGTTCGAATGGATCCTAAGAAAGTGCAGGCCCTTGTTGATTGGCAGGCACCTCGTCATGTGAAGGATTTGAGGTCGTTTCTTGGCTTGGCTAACTATTATTGAAAGTTTATTGCTGGTTACTCAAAGAAGGCAGCGTCTTTGACAGATCTGTTGAAGAAAGATGCAAAATGGGTTTGGTCCAAACAGTGTGAAGAAGCATTTCAAAATTTAAAGAATGCTATTGCATTAGAACCTATACTCAAATTGCCTGATTTTGAGTTACCGTTTGAAGTGCACACTGATGCGTCAGACAAGGCGATTGGTGGCGTATTAGTGCAGGAAGGTCATCCAATAGCCTTCGAAAGTAGAAAGTTGAATGATGCTGAACAAAGATACTCAACACATGAGAAAGAAATGGTTGCGGTGGTACACTGTTTGCAGATTTGGAGAGTCTATCTCTTAGGCACTCGATTTGTGGTAAGAACTGATAATGTAGCAAATACATTCTTCAAAACACAGAAAAAGTTGAGTCCTAAACAAGCACGGTGGCAAGAATTCCTGGCAGAATATGATTTCATGTGGGAACATAAACCAGGAAAACACAACCAGGTTGCTGATGCGCTGAGTAGGAAAGAAGTATTTGTTGCAGTATATTCAATTTCAAAACTGGAAACTGATTTCTATGATAGAATCAGGTTGTGTGCTGCAAATGATTCGTTATATGTTAAATGGATGGGTCAGGTGCAGGAGAGCACAATGAGACGGTATTGGATCGAGGACGAAAGACTTGATGAAAGAAGCGCATGACTCTGCTTGGGCTGGACATCCAGGCGTTGAAAGGATGTTAGCCTTACTGTCTCGTGTGTATTTTTGGCCGAAAATGGAAGACGATATAAAGGCGTACGTTAAGACTTGTCATGTTTGTCAAGTTGACAAGACAGAACGTAAGAAGGAAGCAGGGTTGCTGCAACCTTTGCCTATTCCTGAAAGGCCATGGCTATCGGTAAGCATGGATTTCATTTCTGGATTCCCTAAAGTAGATGGCAAAGCATCTATCATGGTGGTAGTTGACAGGTTTTCAAAATATTCTGTTTTTATTGCTGCTCCTGAGTTATGCTCATCTGAAGTTGCTGCTAAGTTATTCTATAAACATGTGATTAAATACTTTGGTGTTCCGGCTGACATTGTGAGTGATAGAGACACAAGGTTCACGAGTAGATTTTGGACAGCATTGTTCAATATGATGGGAACTGAATTAAAATTTTCTACTGCAAATCACCCACAAACAGATGGACAGACGGAAAGAATTAATCATTTGTTGTAAGAGTACTTGAGGCACTATGTGACTGCAAGTCAACGGAATTGGGTGGCATTGTTAGACACTGCGCAGTTTTGCTATAATCTACACAAGTCGTCTGCAACAGAAATGAGTCCTTTTGAACTCGTCTTAGGCAAACAGCCTATGACACCATTAGATGTTGCTAAATCTAAGAATCAGGGAAAGTGTCCAGCAGCGTACAGAGTTGCAAGGGACAGACTTGAAATGTTATTCGAGGCACAAGATAGTTTGCGCAAGGCTCAGCAGCGCGTGAAGAAGTATGCTGACCAACATCGTCGCTCAGTTGAGTTCAATGTGGGTGACAAGGTGTTGCTGAAACTTACCCCACAAATCTGGAAACAGATTGTAAGTAAGACCAGACATCGGGGTTTGATACCTAAGTATGATGGTCCATTCGAAGTGGTAAAACGAGTGGGCGAAGTTGCTTATAGGTTGAAGCTGCCAGAAAGGTTGAAAATTCACCCCACCTTCCATGTGAGTTTCTTGAAACCTTACTTTGCAGATGAAGATGATCCGGACAGGAACAGATCAAAGAGGGCTCCTCCATCAGTACCTACACAGTATGATGCTGAAATTGAGAAGATCCTTTATCACCGGGTTTTGGGCATGAGTAAGAAGAATACTAAGACTGAGTTCTTGGTCCATTGGGAAGGAAAGAGTGCAGCAGACGCTGTTTGGGAGAAAGCAAAAGACCTATGGCAGTTTGATGCTCAAATCGATGACTATCTCAAAACAGTCTCGATGAGGACATCGAGTTCAAGTGGTGCGGGTGGTCTGTTAGACCCGCAATCTACTTGATCTTACTACGTGCAGACATGCCAAGGACTTGGGCATTGGTCTTGGCATGGATGATGGCAAAACAGTGCAACACAAGTTCAAGGTGCTTGGATGTTGGCAAGGAAGCTTGAATGTGCATGGCTTACG